GAAGTATTAACTAGTATCAGTAGTAATGGGTAAGATTAGGTGTAGAAAAAAATGAATGATGATATTCAAGGACCCAAGATCTAAGGGAAGATAAACGGTGAACGCACCTGCCCCGTCGCGGACGATTTTAAGCCATGCTATTCAAAGTTTTCAACCATTGGTTAGGACAATCACGCGGACCCCAGCCAGATAGTCTACACTCGTTAACTTACATGTCTCAGTCCAATTCTCAATGACTTTACAGATTGAGACCACGTCTTGGTTTGACGGGCTCTAGGTACAAAATAATACTCTCAAAATGGTCTTCATTCCTTTATTTACTAACAACTGAATATTGATGTGATTGAATATGTTAATTGATGCATTTATTTAATATAAGATGATTGTTAGTTGATTGAATCTCTACTCAGATCATTTGGGATGGATCAGTTTACTATATTGATCGGTTTTGGATGAAACATTATTGCACATTCAATGAAGAATCATGTGCACAAATTATTATTAGTTGACATAATCATTCATTGTGAAGTTGCCAAGTGTTCACCTACACGGTTAGGCTTGAATATAATAATGTGATTGGTTTGCCAACCGGTTACTAGGATCGTTGATGTGACTTATTCACCAAGCAGAGATTTATGTACTTGGTTTCAATGCACATTGTTTGTACGAAGGTTATTGTTACTACTACCCAATTGCCTAGTCTGAATTAAGTGGTAATCTATGATTCGAACACGCTATTTCAGTGAACAAAAGTCGAATGATTCTATCAATAAGTTGTCATTTTAATGAATTTGTAATAATAATTTTATTACTGTTCTTTAAGGTTTATTATTCTGAAGTACAATTACAAGTGGAAACAATCTTGGGTTACATAAAGTAATTTAGTTTACTCTATACAAACTTATGATTTTTTCGACAATTTCACTGTTGTCATCAATATATCAACATAGAAAGTCGATGATAACTGTTGATTGAAACTAAATTTATTTATTTAAACATATAAAGAATGGTACAGAGCGGCACCGAATATATATGCGTCACATTTCGTCATTCGATTTGTGTGAGGTCTGAAATATTTCCCGGGTCCCCTGACCGAGGCAGTTGGTGTTCTAAGGGGGCCATTACCCAAACCTTTGACCTAGTGGTCTAATCTACAATGTAATTGGGCAACGTTAGGAAATTCAGTCTCATGGTAGCCTGTGACCAACAATAGGTTCATATGTCGCCTCATTATGCTTGAGTTTATATGCACCGTTAGTTCGAAATCATGGTTTTCCAGCCCCGCTAGGTGGATCTGTCGACTCTGTTAAAGCGCCAGAAATTCGCTTTTCGTTTTATCATTTTCGTAAAGAATAACCACGCCATGATAAGTCATTGAGTAGGATTTTCCTATCAGTAGCTGTTCACGCGTGGCCATTTGAGAGGGATAACAGACTCTCCACACCCTTGGCCGTAACAGGGCATTTGGTAATGTAAACGTTTCATCACGATTTAATGCCACTGGAAAGTACCATGCAACATACATTAAACGACAGTTGTGTTTATTTATTGCCCCCAAATGCCCTGGTACGGCCGAGAGTGGGGAGAGTCATCTCGAAATGCTCTCACATGGCTCTGTGCATACAACCACTACCAGGGGAGTCCTACTCACTGTTTTCTCTCGGTCAGGGTGTTTTTTACGAGATTGAGGGGACGAAAACCAAATGTCCACCGCTTTAATCGGGTTAGTGGACACGGAGAGTCCACCTAGATGAGTTGGAAAACCCTTATTCCAAACCAATGGTGCACATGGTCTGGCTCCAGGATCCTGAAGGAAATAATGGTGTATGAACCAATCGTTGGTCACTGGCTACCATATGACTGTATCTCCTGACGTTGCTCTATTGCCTTATGGATCACACCTTTAGGTTGAAGGCTCCGTGTATAGCCCCCTAAGAAACCCACCTGCTTCGGTCTGGGCATCCAAGCAGTCCTCACACAAATCGAATGATTCATGCGGCACATATCTGTTTGATGCCTCCTTGTATCAATGTTTATGTGTTTAAATAAATAAAATTTACTTATTTATCTAAATATCTGATTCTATTTCGATTCCATTATACATACAGATTGTACTCCAGATCCAATTTATGTAAAAAAAAAAGAATTACAAAGACAATCTCTATTTACCAATGCATTCAAAGAAGAAAAACACTGATCAATGATGAATGAATTAACATATTTTGCTGACATTTGTCAATATTGTAAATAAACTTATGAAAAGAAAAACAAGCGGGGTTTTTTTGTTTGTTTTCTTCTATTCACAATGAATAGTAACTAGGTGAAATGTGTTTCTTGAAGACTTTCTAGTTCAAACTGTAGGTTATGAACAAAAATCGATGAAAGCACCATAGAAACTGTTTTACCTGGATAGTATTGGAAGGTGATCTGTTTGAATATCTGAGCCCATTGTTCCTGTCATCTAAAGATTTCAACAAGTTATCTGTTTTCTTGTTTGTTTTTAACAGATCATTATGTCTATTAGTTTCATAACCTATTCAGTTGGGTTTGTGAAATTTCGCACAACGTTTCGTTGTACAAGTTAGAGAAGAGTACAATCAGAGTCATTGTTTTAACTGGTGATATGCATTGAAAAGAATACACATTCGTGACATGTCGATTCCTGAACTGCTGATATCTAACTAGCGACCACTCAATATTTACCGTCTAGATCGATCAAGAAATAAGAAACGGAAACCTGTTGTAATACCTCGTGCTGAGAAATCTATATTATACCATCAATCGGTTCATGATTTCCATGACATACATATATAAACTGTTTACAAACCTCAACTCATGAGGATAAATGTGTCAGTATGTCTGAAACCAGAATGGCTTCTTGTAATGATTACTTAAAGTTTGGTTACAACACACAATAATGTAAATGACAGCTAGTGGCCGTGTCTAATATCAATAATAATTATAAATAACTGGACTGGGAACTAACAGCATACAACTATGGTACCTATTGTGTTTAAACGACGATCCACTGAATATACAGAAACGTGCATTATATCATACGTTCGAATATTAGAAATAGGATTATAGTAATATAAAGCCATACAAATAAATGAGAATACAGATAATGCAAACAAAATTAACAAAATATGTTTATGTACTATGATCGTAATTTCATTTCAGAAATATTCAGGATCTACCGTTCATTCAGCTTGACTATTAAAAGGATATTTTGGTAAACTGATATATTAATAGAGAGTCTACTTTAGTTACTCAGCAATGAAATATGTTTGTCGACCGGACTTGCTTTGGTTCAGTAATTAGTTTTACTCTGGGAAACTTCTAAGTGATATATTGCATATTTTCATCTGATATAAATCCTCTTAGCACTTATAAATGAGATGATATCAGTCTTAAAACATCACTGGTAAAAGAAAGGCATTGACTAATATTGTAATTCGTTATATCTGCGTTTCTCCATCTGCTTTGGTCTGGGAACCCGGGCAGTATCACGGCTCACACACAAATCAAGTGACTTGTGTGGCGTATATGTATTCGGTGACCCTTTGTACCAATATTTATGTGTTCAAATAAATGGACACGCGTATATATCCTCCGCCAGGGAAGTCCTACTCACTACCTTCTCGTGGCGGTGTTGTCTACGAAATTGAGAAGACGAAAACCAAATGTCCGGTGCTTTAACCGGGTCGGTGGACACAGAGTCCGCCTAGGGGAGTTGAAAAACCCTCATTCCAAACCAATGGTGCAAATGGGCTGGCTCCAGTATCCTGAAGGAACAAATGGCGTATGAACTAATTGTTGGTCACCGGCTACTATGTTACTGCATATCCTTACGTTGCTCCACTGCCTTGTGGATCAGACCTTCAGGTCGAAGACTCTGGGCGTGACCCTCTAAGAAAACCACCTGCTTCCGTTTGGGCACTCGGACAGTATCACAGCCCTCATCCATATCAAATGAGATTTATGTGGTGCATATGTATTTGGTGCCTCCTTGTACCAATATATGTGTTAAAATAAATAAATAGTATGCATTCATCACATGCAATCCATTCTGAGATTGTGTTCGACTTCGTCAATTATCTACTCTACAAATTATTTATTCACTATAGCATTACAGTTTAGCCGTTAGGAATGTTTTCTTTTGACAACATCCATTCCGTGTTAAAATAGAATGGAAAGTTTATAAATTTGATTCATAAGTTTCATTTCACAGAAAAGTTTGCTTTCTAATGAAAATACGAACAAGAAATGAAGTGGTAGGTAGGTGGTTCCTTCATTATTTAAGAAGATAAACGCCCATAAAAAGTGTTCTTTTAGTCTTAACCTGTCTGGGAAGTATCATCGGTGGACAAAGAGGTTCAGATGCAGACGTAAAGGCAAGGATTGGCAAAGCAAGGGCCACATCTTTACAATTGAAGAACACGTGGAACTCAAAACAACTGTCAACCAATATCAAAGTCGCAATCTTCAATATGAATGTCAAGACAGTTCTACTGTATGGAGGTGAAACGTGGAGAATTTCTACAACCATCATCAAAAAAGTACAAGTATTTATAAATGGTTGTCTACGCAAGATACTCAACATCCATTGGCCGGATACCATCAGCAACAGCCTACTGTGGGAGAGGACAAATCAGCTTCCATCTGAAGAGGAAATCAGGAAAAGACATTGGAAGTGGATAGGACACACATTGAGGAAATCATCAAACTGCATTACGAGGCAAACCCTAACTTAGAATCCTGGAGGGAAGAGGAAGGCCAAAGAACACATTGTGACAGAAAATACAAGCAGATATGAAAAGGATGAATAACAACTAGAAAGGATTGCCTAAGAATTCTGATGGGCTGCCTATGCTCCTTCACGAGGAGTAGCCGGCGTAAGCAAGTAAATCTTAACCTGTAATACAAATTATAAAAAAGAATTATCATCTTGCTAGATATATATTATTTACAATTTGAAAAAATATACAATAAGCCAATCTTTATTCCTCAAATTTAATCTTTTTCGGTTTATTATGACTGGTATTAGTAGTATTATTATTGTTTTTGTTGTGACATTCATCAGGTGGAATAAGTGCAGCGGAACGTTTAGCTTTTTGTCGTATTTTTGATATTTGATTTGATTTAACAATATTTGATTCCACTTTCAATCGTTTACGTTCAGCTTCAGCTAAGAAGTATGTACCTTTTTCTAGTTCAATATCAATTTTTGATTGAACTGGTGGTGGTGGAAATGGATTATATTCTTTTTTCTTACGTACCTAAAAGTAAAAACAGTAACAAAGAAAAAATATTAAATCAATGATACACTCAATAGAGATTAAGCATATTTTTTTTAATGGTGAGATCTATAATCTATTGAACGAACTTTAAGCGACGCTAAAGTGACCTTGAGAGTGTCTACCTTCTTACGACGGTTAAATAAGGGTTATAAAGCAGTTTCAGTCAGTCAGCTACAATGTAGAACCAGGTACATATATGCATCGGTCCAAGTTGCCATACCTCATTAACACAACAAGATGAACACCGGATTCATAGAAGTAGTTAATTCAGTGGTGGTAATATGTAAAATAAAGATTGCATATAACGACATAGTATAGGAAGAAAGAATTAGTTGGTAGAAAGAAAGATATGAAGCGATTATAATCTCTTAGTTTAAGGGAAGACAGAGAGTGTATACATCTACGCCATTGTGATCAATTCTGAGCCACGTCACAGAGTCTCCAACCATTGGTTACGACAGTCATGCGGACCCCAACCAAGTAGTCTGCATCTACCAACACGGCTTAAACTAGAAGTTAGTGACTTTGTGGACTGATGCCACGTTTTGGTTTGGCCGCCCCTTACTTTCTTCCAACCATTTCCAATACCGGATAGCATTGCACGTCGTGGTAATCGGTGTTCGGGCATACGTAACACGTGGCCCAACCTCATCAACTGATTTACCATTATTCCCTAATACCCTACGTCTAACCTCACTATTACTTACCCGGTGATCCCAACAGACGCCAGCAATATTTCTAAGGCATTTGTGGTCTAATACTAGTAGCTTACGAGTATCTCCTACTCTTATGGTCATGTTTCGCTGCCGTAAATTAAAACAGAACGGACTGCCGCGCAGCACTCAAGATCACTGTATAAAGCAGTTTGAAGAATAAGCAATGTGATTTACAGTTGAAGGTTATAGATTAAGAATTAGATTCAAGATTTTTCATCACGAACTGACATTAGCTACAACGTGAAATTGCTATTTAGCCAAATGGATTGAGTGAACTTCGCGCCAAAATCCAAGACCTGTTATTCTAAATCTAATTGGTTCGTTTATAAATTATAGTCTCGCTATTAAAACCATAATATATACATTAATATAAACGTACTTTATGAGGTTTTCTACGTCGACTAAGTACTTTCTTTTTCATTTTAGGCAAAAATCGATCCCACGATATATTTTGTTTTGTAGGATCCATAGAAAGTTTTTTTATGATAAGTAATCTTTTAATAGAATAAGCTGGATGTATATTGTCATAGATGCAACCTTGAACAATTTTACGTACCTTTATTTATATAATAAACAACAACAAAAAATATAATTAATCTAAATAGTATAATTATTTAAAACTTAATAGTATATATAGAGAAAATGAGTGAATTCCGACATCTAAACATTATGATAAATTTTTTAACAGATCAAATATTTATTTATTTTACCACATAGATAATGGTACAAAGAGGCACCAAATACATATGCACTACACAGATCTCATTTGATTTGTGTGGGGGCTGTGATACTGCCCGGGTGCCCAGACCGAAACAGGTCGTTTTCTTAGGGGGCCACACCCCAAGCCTTCGACCTGAAGGTCTGATCTACAAGGCAGTGGAGCATCGTAAGGAGATGCAGTCCCATGGAAGCCGGTAACCAACAATTGGTTCATACGCCATTTGTTCCCACAGGATACTAGAGCCCATGTGCACCATTAGTTTGGGATCCGGTTAAAGCGCCGGACATTTGGTTTCCGTCCTCTCATTTTCGTAAGCAATACCCCCTCCACGAGAAGGCAGTGAGTTGTGAGTTGTAGCTTTTGGAACTGAGAATTCGATCTGTGTGGGTCGGCTTGTGATATACTTCAGTCTCCAGTTCCCCTGTGTCAGTTCTGGTGACTAATACATCCAAGAATGATAGTTTGTGATTTGGCTCCTTTTCGATAATATCACTGAAGACGTTGTTGATCAGAGTATAGATTTTTCCAGCTTGTCCGTTCTGACGATAACGAATGTGTCATCCGCATAAGGAATCCAGACACTTGGCTTGATCACGGGTAAGATCGAGTCTTTCAGTCTCTACATCACTGCTTCTGCAATAAGTCCTGATATTAGTGATTCCATCGGTGTTCATTTCGTTTGTCCGTAGATTTTCTTTTCGAATTGAAAATGTTGTCAAGCATAAATCGATGAGTTCTAGTGAACGTGGACTTTAAAGCTTCGTGTACTTTGAGAGATTTATGTCCTTGGTGAGAAGCAAGGGTAAAGCTTCCCTGCTAACCTTGGTTCAATTAAAGTGAATAAAGCTGTTAAATCAAAGGATATCATCTCGTCGTTGTTGATTTGAATGTCCTTAATCTTATCCAGGAATTGCATAGGAGATTTGATGGAGATAGCCTAACAAAAATAATCAATCACCATCGAGGTCTATATGACGAGCTATAAGTCATATGGCCCCCGAATGCCCTGGTATGGCCGAGAGCAGGATGGGCCCGCCCTCCCTCTGGAAATGCTCTCACACGGCCACGTGTATACAGCCTCTGCCAGCGAAGCCCTACTCACTGCATTCTCGCACCACGGGTGTTGTTTACGAAATTGAGAGGACGGAAACCAAATGTCCGGTGCTTTAACCGGATCCCAAACTAATGGTGCACATGGGCTCTAGTATCCTGTGGGAACAAATGGCGTATGAACCAATCGTTGGTCACCGGCTACCATGGGACTGCATCTCCTTACGATGCTCCACTGCCTTGTGGGTCAGACCTTTAGGTCAAAGGCTCGGGGTGTGGTCCCCTAAGCAAACCACCTGTTTCGGTCTGGGCACCCGGGCAGTATCACAGCCCAGACACACACACACACAAATATGGTGTAGTGCATATGTATTTGGTGCCCTCTTGTACCAATATTTATTTGTTGAAATACATATGTGGAGAAATTCAAACACTTCACTTCCACATAAAATTTGTGCTGATATTGTTCAGGAAAACAATGAAGGCTCCACGACCAAACCATCCAGCTCATAGTACGAAACTCCACCTACGAGTCTTCCCCACTACCCCAAAATTATTTTAACGTAACACGCTTATTGTTATTTGAAAATAGGAGAATTTTGCTAAAAGACACGCCTCTACTCAAGAACTACTTCATTTTCTCCACAAGTGTATTTGCCTGTATGTTTTGCCGACAAGTGTAAGGTATAGACCTCCAATCAACTGCCCAATGGGGTGGCGAATAGCTGAACAAAGCAGAAGAAAAATTATATACCTAATGACAACTGATGCACACTATAGGGTCCACAAATATCAACATGTCACGGATGACCAAAAAAGGAAGACAGCCTTTCTGGAGTCACAACTTTCGAATTATCAACGTTAAAATAACTATTCAAATAAACGAGATCACGGAGTTTATGTTCATATATCCAAACTAGAAGTGTTATGTCACCAGTGGAAAGTTGCTTCACGCTGTGAAAGCGTTTAAGTCATACTGCAGTCAGTATTTTAACACTTCTTGTAATTTTCTTGATTTGTACAAATATCTTTACACCCCTTAAAAAGTTTATACTCGGAAATCTAACGCAAAATAATAATATAATATAATAATACAAATCCAGATAAAAATTTTAAAGCAGTTATGCAATCAAGAGAACCCAAGTGGAAAACTAATTTTTCTTGAGTTAGATAGTACTAATACGTTTCTTGATTGTCATTCCTATATGTTAGTTTTAGAATCTGGAGATAAATAAAGACAAAAGATTCATGAGCCACTCGTATAAGCGCTACCAAGTGGCAATATAAATCCAATTATAAGATCGACTACAGTTACCATAGACTAGTGCATTTGCCTTTATTCTTCTGAGATAAGTGACTAGTGTGTGCTTGGGACTTCTGTAGTTCGCAAACAAAACGGAACAATCTAAAAATAACCACCATACCATCATCACAAGCCAGATAGAACAATACTGGAGTTAGTTAATTTTCAAAACCTAAAGTTTATGATAGGATTGTTGATCGAATACACACTAATGAAAACTGACACTAAAATTTGTAACTCAATGATTATGACTAGCTGCTCGATATACAGAAGTTTTTATCAACCAGTTAACAGGTTCCTTAAGTTTAAATAACGATTAATTCTTGTTTGTTGTCGTTTACATTACTTTTATAAAGGTCTTTTGAGATTATGATAGTGACGTTAAAACTAATTAGGATTCAAATAATTACAATATTGCAGATACATAAAATAATTAAACACACCTCCTTTAAATCGTTATATCGACCAACCACAGAAACAGTTTTTCCTTGTACAACTATATAACAGTTAGTAGACAGCTCCAGGGCTTTCAACGTTTCACCATCATGACCAATAAGCCGATTACGTCGTTTAACAAATCGTTCACGATTAGTCAAGTTAATTTCAATAATATCTGCGAATGTCTCGTCATCCAGAACACGAATAGCTTGCTCCATAGGGACAGAGCGGGCTAATAGGCGTATAACATCCCTGGCTTTTAGTATGATAAAAGGATCAAAAGTCCTTGGAGTTGTTCGAACTTCCATAGTACTTTCAGCCACATCTATCTCCACTCGAATATGCTGTTCATAGAATTAGAAATACGTCTCCATTACATGTAAATTCGGAAAAAAAACCTCAACTCATACAACAACTAGCATGTAAAATGTGAAACATAACAAACTGGTTTGAAGGATTTCGAAAGAATAGCACTCAAATAAACAATTATGTTACACAATTCATTATATTTCGTCGCAATTGCTTAGGCTATATACATGCGTTATGGATCGACAATTTATTTTTCAAATTCAAAATAGTATTCATAGTTGCAATTAACTAAACATGACTATATTCCGACTGTAAAATACAGCATACAGGTATCGGAAAAACAGAAAACCACTTAATGCAAATGTTCACTCAGCACCCACTTAACCTTATCCAACAGTCAGTCAGTCAGTCAGCTACAACGTAGGACCAGGCACATATGTGCATCGGTCCAGGTTGCCATACCTTATTAACACAACAAGATGAACACCGGATTCGTAGCAGTGGTTAGGTCAAAGGTGGTAATATATAAGAGAAAGATTGCATATAGAAATATAGTAAAAGAAGAAAGAATTGGTTCGTAGAAAGAAAGATATGAAGTGATTTTAATCTCTTAGTTTGAGGGAAGACAGGGAGTGTATACACCGACGCCATTGAGATCGATTCTGAGCCATGTCACCAAGAGTCTCTAACCATTGGTTACGATAGTCATGCGGACCCCAACCAAGTAGTCTGCATCTACCAACACGGCTCAGACTAGAAGTTAGTGACTTCAAGCATTGATGCCACGTTTTGGTTTGGCCGCCCCTTACTTTCTTCCAACCATCCCAAACGCCGGTTAGCATTGCACGTCGTGGTAATCGGTGTTCAGACATACGCAGCACGTGGCCCAACCATCTCAGTCGATGAAGATTCATAACCTCATCAACTGATTTACCATCATTCCCTAATACCCTGCGTCTAACCTCATTATTACTTACCCGGTGATTCCAGCAGACGACAGCAATATTTCTAAGGCATCTGTGGTCAAATACTAGTAGCTTACGAGTGTCTTCTACGCTTAATGGCCATGTTTCGCTGCCGTAAATTAAAACAGAACGGACTGCCGCGCAGTATACTCGTCCTTTTATTGATAGACGGATATCTCGCCTTCGCCATAGGTGACGCAAGTTGGCAAAAGCCAATCGAGCTTTTCGAATCCGTGCTGAGATTTCGTCCGATACCAACCCATTAGGGATGATCAGACTTCCAGGATAAGTGAAGTTGTCAACGCGTTCGACTACTTCACTCCCTATCCTTAGTTCAGGTGTCGGCGCAGACCAGTCCTGAAGCAACAACTTGCGTTTAGAGGGAGAGAAGCGCATTCCAAACATTCTGGCATTGTTGCCCAGTGCTCCCAAAAGACTGTATTTTGTCAGCGTCTTCACCAAACAGTACTATATCATCCGCGTATTCTAAGTCGATAAGTGGACCTCCTGGATGGAGATCAATACCCGAGAACTCAGTCGACGAGAGTTATTTCCATCAGTAGATCTATGATGAAGTTAAACAAAAATGGGGAAAGTGGACAGCCTTGACGGACACCACTTGAGGTTGCAAAAGTAGATGACAGTTCGCCATAAGCTCTGACTCAACTAGTAGTGTTCGAGTAAAGAGCCTTCACAAGGTTTATGTACTTCTGGGGTACGCCTTTCAATGACAGACACTGCCACAGAATCTCGCGGTCTACCGAGTCAAATGCTGCTTTTAAGTCGAGAAAGACCACCATTGTCGGACGTCGATAAGTATGCCTGTGTTCTAGAATCTGACGAATGGTGAATATGTGGTCGATGCAGCCACGACCCTTATCCAACAAGTTAGTAAACGACAATAACCTGAACATCGTTAACATCAGACATTAATTGTACTATTTTTTTTCTTTTTGTGTCACACAAAAATAAGTTACGGACATGTGATGAATGGGATAAGAAGTGTACACACACATGCGCTCATATAAAAACAGTCAAGATTAATAAACGAATAATTAACAAGGTCAAGATGTGATTCGACTAAAATGAATGGACTGACTTGTCCGAAAGCTAGAATAAGATATATGGGCTTAACTTGTCAACCAACACTACAATATCAACTGACGAACAGGAAGCATGAAGTACGTTTTTGTGATATTTACAGAATATGTATAATATACATAATAAAAAGTTCTATGCGTATCAGTCTTACATGTTCCATCATTATTCTTCTTAAGGCGGGCCAAATTTCGCTCAAGTACTTCTCACGATATTTTGGGAAGAGCGTTGTGTATGATGATGAAGCAAACAATCTCCCATGAGGATTATCCTCAGGAGTAAACTTCGGCTCCTTCCAATCCTTTGGAACCTCAGCATATTTTGGCTCCGAAACCTCTTCATTTCCTTAAGAAAATACTTGCAACATGAAACTTTAATAACTAACTTTTTGCAGAAAACGCTTTGTACGGTACCCATCCCTGAACCTTTGGAAAACTGAGTTTCTGCTTATTGGTTTTTCTGCCCATAGTATTTCACGTACATGCTGCTAGTTATTTTTGGCGACGAGATGATAGTATTGATGAAACAAACCGGACAACCTAACACCAAGACAGAAAATCTAGCCGCCGTGTTAATAGTAAGCGACCTAGAAGAAATAATTCCCACACCACGATTAATGTCCAATACCGAGTAATTATTTCTATCGTTTAAGTAAACATAATTGTTTTTAATTGATTGTGATTATTTTATCAGAAATAGCTATATAGTCACCTAATGTCGGTCTCACCACTCGGTCGTAATTCTTCAACTATAAGAATTGTTACATAACTATGCAATTTATTCCAACCTTCGAACTGATCAGTCTAAATGGTTTAGATGGTTCTGGACGGAAAAGAAGAAAATTAATACTATCGGGCTTCCGTATGTAGAAGCAGTGGATCACGGATGCGCCCAGGTAAGAACCTAGGTATACTGATGATAAAAGGTGAAAAGGAAAAATTTATATTTTATAGTGAGATACTGTCCCAATTCCTTAGAAACCACCAATTTCTCTCTTAAATAACTCCTGGGTAGACGCTTGGACTAACTCAACCGGTGGCGATTTACAACCTTTGACTACTCTTAAGGAATAGACTGTGTGTCTACAGTCCGTTCTTCGGTGTTGTCACCAAGTACTCAGTGTTGCTCTTAAAGTATATGTTGGGACTGAGATTAGGTAGTTCTTTAAGAGGATGTCATAAAGTGTTGGGAATGCTATTAGTCATTAGGTCACTTCTAAGATGACTGTACTTCAATGAATATGTGTCCAGTGATTGAGGACACCCTTCATAAGGCTTGAACTTGATTCCCCGGACTGATTTCGTGTCTTGGATACGTTTCAGTGTTTCATTATCTTTTGGGAATGAGAGGCAAAATATTGCTACCGTATTCTTAATGACGTCGGGTAAAACTGTTGAAGATGAGGCTGAATTTTTTTCCCGTCGGACCGGCCGAAAATGCGCTTCAGCTTAACCAATGCAAGATTTGCTCGTTTGGCATTTTTGTGGCAGTCATTGTAAGACTTCAGATCATAAGATACCAACACTCCTAGATCTTTGTAAACCTGCAGTACCTCTAAAGTAGAGTTGCCCAAGTTGTAGTTGTAGTCTGCAACAAATCTCAGACCATTACATTGCACTTTGAAGTGTTAAGAGTAACTTCGTCGTCATCTGCCCAACTTTGAAGTCCAGCCATATCTTCGTGAAGTGCTAGTTTATCCTCTTGGTCGCGAAATTCTCTCCAGGATTTTACATCATCAACGAAAAGTAATAAATCTGACGACACCTGCTTGAAAGTTCACTATGTCGATCTCCTTTGGAAATTGGTGTGATGTGAACCAGCTTCCAATATTCTGGTGATTTGCTTCGACTAAATGAATGTGAGAACATAAGGCTAAGCGGTGCTACCAAGGCTGGAACTTACTCCCTCAGCATAGCAGAATCCTTATTCGTCCAGTCAATCTGTTATATATATATGTATGTTATCTTGAGTATGTGTGTATGGTATAACTTGTGTGTTTTTATATTTGTTCATATATGTCATGATTACAAATGTGGAATTATGTTTTGATAAAATTGAGCGGGGCTGTTTGCAATCTTCTACTCGAGTTTCTTATGAAAAATTTCAGATTTGTGAAGTAAGAATAAAATGCATACGGCCTATGTTGGTCTTTTTGTGGTATGGTTCTGTTTGTGCCTAATCTTCTGCTGAATGAGTCATTTGAAGTGACAGATAACACTTCTTCGTGTAACATGTTCTGAAAGCTGATGACAGTGTGAAAACTTGCATGTTACGGGTATTTGTTTGTCCTTGGCTCTTGTGCTCGCTCTTTATGTCCCTTGGTAGGGAGAAAGAGAGGATAAATCATATCCGAAGTCATTTCTTAGTATTCTATTATTCAAATCAAACCACTTGGTCCACGGGTACGGGCACTTCTCCTTTGCTGTACCTATATGCCTTTGTATCCACAAAGTGAATGTAGACATACTTGACCGTGTTGATAGGCATCATCCAATCCTTAGACCAACTAATCACAATATTTTAGTCTTCCCGAAGTGCGCAAGCATCTCCATCTCCTATTATTTCCCGCCAGATTTTTATATCGTCAGAGTATACCAGCATTTGGGACTCAACTATAGTTGAGAGTTTATTTAAGTACAATATAAAAAGTAAACGATCTAGAAAAGAGACTTGCGGTACTTCATTAGGTACCTGCTTCCACGTGGAGCACCTAGAATTTATTCTTACTCCTTGTCTACGACCTGCCCAGAAACTTGTAGCGTGGTGTCGAGTTGAGGTTAACTATGAACACCGCTACTAAGAAACACGTGCCAAGTGAATCAAAAGGCGAAGGTTAAACGTAACCAAAGAAATCCATAAAATCCCCGAGAAGACAAATACCAGAAGGCAATTAATGGACCAAATCGAGATATATATTTGCTGGCGATCTCGTGGTATCGAAAGGATACCGAGATCGTGCCACGATACAAGCTTGGTTACAGAACGTAACGGAATTCGCGCGAAGTCACAATCAAAGTGTAAGAATAATAATGGAAGCACAATATAGCTGTCATTAGCCCAGTCAAACAAAAGCACATTAAAACAAGCACTGGTACAGTTGGTTATAATAATAATTGTTTTTATTAAACCAGTCGTGTTCTCGTGATAAATGTGAGTCACTACAAACTATTCATCCACCTGATGAGAAGTTTTTGATGTCTAGCTTCTTCAGCTTCAAGAGCAGTCTACTCTTTGGCAACGTATCAAATGCTTTGCTGAAGTCTATGTAGACAAGATAAATTGATTTTTCATTGTCTATTGCATTTATCCATCTCTCCCTTGCTATAAGAAGGTCTGTTGTGCGAGATAAACCTTTTCTGAAACCCTGTTATTAGTTTCCACAACTGTAATCATTGTACTCTCGACTACCGTTTCCAGTATTTTAACTACGACACTGGAGAGGCTATGAGGTCCTTAGTTTGTTGAGCGTTGTATTGATCCTGCTTTACGTATTGGAGTGACAACTGAGTCCTTACAGTCCTTAGTGACACATTCAATATCATGGTCAATTGAGCAGCAAAATATTACGCAATTTGTCTTAAAATGTTAGGGTGTAGTTCGTTCAATCCTGTTGTTATGAAGTTTGCTTTGTCTTGATCTTCTTTTTTCTTTTGAGACACATTCTCTTCAGTAATTAGGTTGGGATTTCAATGATCTTTTCTTGTCCTGTAATTTATTTAAGAGAACAGTCTTTCTAGCTGTGTGACTGCAGATTGTGCTAACTGCTCCTCACATGGAAAAATTATCCATGAACAGCTATCATCATTTTTACTCTCAGCTAGACTGATTAGGTCATTTCATAATGGGTTCATTTCTGAACGCTCATGTTCCACATCGCACTTAAAATTTACTGGGCAAATTACCCAGAGAAGAGATGTTGGTCAGTCAGTGATAATTATGTACTTCGATTTTAGTAAGGCTTACGATATTGTCTAACATAGTTTTCTTCTTCTAAAAGCTTCTTCATTTAACATAAGGAATCCCCTTTTATCACGGTTCAAATCTTTTTTAACAGAATGTAGTTAATTTGTTTACTTTGAATCTTGATACTCTAAACCTGTGAGTGTAGCCAATCGGGTTATACAAGAAAGTGTGATTGAACCATTACTCTTTCGCCCTTTCATCAATGACGTGTACTCACTCTTTCATCACGAAAAACCTTTAATTTTGCTGATCATCCAAGAGAGGTCCATTCATTCTCATCTCTTATAAAAAAAACTATTTAACTGGCAATCCAAGGAGTTCTTAACAAGTTATGCCAACAGACTGTGTCGTGGAATCTGGCGCCGAATGTTGATAAAAGTTGATTTATCTGCTTTACATATAGCCCTAACCCATATCTGGATCTGCGCACACACACACACACCGAAACCTCTCAACACTATCAAGACTTGTGTTCGGGGTGTAGCGACACTTTGAACGTTCCCAAGAACATTACATTTCAAGTATCCAAAGCAAGAAAGCTCATTGGAATCAATGGTAAATTCCGATAACATGGAACTGAGTTCATTATTATTGTACAATTAATGTATCCTATCTATCTTTAAATATAGTATTCTAGTTTACAGTAATTGCAGACATAATAACTTGATGAAAATTGAAAGTATCCAAAAAAATTCGCTAAAGATGTTATGGGGTATTCCAACAATAAGGATTACTACCAAAGGTGTCTACAAATCTAGTTAGGACCTCTCTGAACCAGGCGCATTAAATCGAACTTTGTCTTCATTTACCGGATTGCAAAAGACATTCCATGCTTTTCGACATCTATCCCTTCGTACTCTATCATATCATCGCACACCTTGCGCAACAAAGAGGATATTCTGTCGATTCCGAGAACCTACACAAACTTACGCCAGAATATTTCGTTATTCACTACTCAGCCATATGGAACAGATTACAAATGAATCTCAATTGCAGTGGAACTATAACCCGATTCACAAGTTGCCTTGATGACTTTCCGAAAGTGGTTTGTGCCATATTCTAAATGCCAATGTGATTATCAACGAATATATACAAATAATGTCCTTCATCTATCTTACTGACTGTAAAGCAAGGTAGAACATTTGAAACTTATCCTGTTTATTTTGCTTTCTTTTTATTCACTTGATTACTTAAAGTTTATTCATTTTAATATCTGAAGACTGCTTTTATTCATACTTATGGTCATTATTGTTACTGTCATCATGTTTGGTCATCCGACATATTAGATATTCTTTTCATCCCTTATTTTTCTCTTTATCCTCTTTTTTCCTCCCAAATATATATTACCCCTAAACATCCAAAGTTTATAACTAAAAACATATTACTTGTGTTACACTTAAATAAATTCACTTTTCAGATTCAATTTATCTTCAACACGTATAAATGAACGATTTTATTTGATATTTGATTATCCTTTGCGGTTAGTTGAGATTTTCATAGCATC